TTTTTTTAATATAAATCAAGTATAACCCCCTGAGAACTGCAGGTTGGCAGTTGTCACATTCTAGCAGAGACAGGCAGTGTTCAGTCTTTCGTGGTTCTGATTCTCTCCCAGGTGAGAGATCATCATACCCCACTCCTGCCGTTATAGCAAAAAGCAAGAACAAGCTCTAGATAAGAAAACAAAAGTGTGAACTTCACTTTCTTCCCATTCTCTATTCCATATTTCCCCCTTCCCTTCAAGGTAGTATTCAGCTATCACTTTTTCAGTTCTTTTATTTCTGAAAGGTTTTAATCCTGCTGCATACTGAGGTTTCTGAACTATTGCATTTTATCACCTCTAAATAATGGAAGAAGTCATTAAACAGAGGCATTATCCAGTCTGCTTTAGATATATATAAAAAAAAAAAAAAGACAGACAAGACTGAAAATTCACTGATTTCTCTTACAGAGGCTCACTGGAATAAGCAAAATTGAATAGCGACATTATTAAAAGATTACAAAATGCAAGTTCACACATAGCAGACATTGGTCCTTCATCTCACTGAAAGCTCGTATCTTAGAAATGTAGGGTTCTACATCAATGAACCTCTGTGTCAGACTCAATGGCAGTTTTGTGATGCAGACAAATAGCTATTTGAAACTGGTTTGAGACAGCCAATGTCTTTAACCTGAGGCAAACTTGTATTGTAGTGACAGAAATAAAGCTATTAATGAACTCACCAATATTTAACTACTCCTGTTGTGCCTCCCATTGGTCAAATTTCACAAGTCTAGCACTATACTGCCCAGGGCAAGAAAATGAAATAGTGAACCATTCTCATCAAGAAAAGGTTAAAGCTTTTATTATTTAGAGGACGGAATCAAGACTCAGTTTATACTGAAGATTAATTGTTTGATAAGACCAGTATATAGTCAAGTAGGCAAATTTTAAAAGAAGCCTCAAAGCTTTGTTTTTGCAACTCAGTCTCAATGTTCTTCTAAAACAGAAAAAAATCACATTCTGTACTGCTCTCTACAGTAGCATTCCAGTGAAACATGATAAAATTAGAGGATGGCCTTTATGCTGAAGATATTTCTAACTTACTTCTAGCTCAAGATTTAATGAGAGCAAAAAGTGGTCAGTATTTGCTATAGCAAATACAGACATGCTTTCCAGCTCAGAGAAACAGAAAGTGAGATCTTTCCATCAGTGCAGGCAAGTAGCAGCTTCAGTCAGAAAGCTTTTACTGAGCACAGACATGTCATACACCTGCATATGCATTAAGAATAAAATTGAAAATTATAATAAATGTACTGTATAGAAAGTCATGTTTTCTTTGAAGTTACAGTATAGATCATAATTCTAAAGTTTCTCTCCTGTTTCCCTTTTTCTTTGCAGCACCAGCCCTTAACAGTGAAGTTACTAGGGCACAATGGTAATAGAGGTCTGTAAGGGGATAGCAAAGTTAGAGGGGGAAAAAAAATTAACATGAACAGATACCCAGTAGGTTCTCTATTTTAGTCCAAAGCTGTCCTAGAGACCAATGGTACTTACTTGGCAGCTTTTTTTGCCCTTGCACTGTGACAACGCTTATACCAGGAAGAGAAGGACATAACAGAGCTACGCTATTAAATGTTGCTCCAACCACTTAGCAACACAGTCATTTCAAGGTCTTTTGAGACACTCAGAAGCTGCAGTCCTCCCCCCAAACCCACAGGCTAGAACTGGGGCATCACTGAAGAGGTCACCAGTTGGAAAGCTCAGCCACACTCTATGTTGGCACCAAAAGCACCTTTCACAGCTACTTCCTTCTTAACATCTCTCTCTCTAAAAAGTCTATTTTATTCCTGACATTGAAGCTGACAACTCCCTGAAGGGCTAGTTTTTACCTTCCTACTCTCAACAGTAACTGAAGTTGGTGTTATTATTCACACTTTACAAATGGAGAGCAGGTCAGGAAACAACACACAAATCTAGAACATACCACATTAAATCAATTACTTTTCAGTCCTGTGCATTGTCATTTGGACAAAGCTTTAGATCTCTTGCTATTTGAAATTCCAACTAGAAACTGAAATTTTTAATGCTGTTGTTTCAGACACCAGGACAGTAACGCATTTCAATTTGTTTCCTGTGTCTATTACCCTTGTGTGCTTGTGAGTGCCAGCTAAGTTTAGTAACTAATTAGACTGGAGTCACAATTCCATTAGAGGTCTGGATCAGTAATCCACCAGGCAGGAAACAAAACATCTCTTGTTGAAATAGCTGTAGCTTTATTTGAGGGATTTCCTTAAAAAAAAGGAGTTTAAAGAGGAAGAAGTCATCCAGTAACTATACAAACCTCATTGTGTGCTTCCATTTTAGAAGCCACAAAATAGGTCACACTCAAATCAAGCAAAATCCCTGGCTGACATAAGTATCTTAAATCAGCTGAGCTTCGACACTGGAGTAACAGCTATCAAATATCATCCTGAACATAATTAGTAGTTCCAATACTAATTTTTTTTTCTTCATATTGAACTTGGACAGTTTCAATACAAACACTACTTTCCATTGCTCTCAACAAAGCACACTAAGCAGCTGCAAAAACATTCCTTCAGCAAAGAACAACTGAGTAAGGTCGTTACCAAGGAAGGAGCAAGTGGTAACACAAAAGATTTCACACCCCTGTAAAAAGGGCAACTTATTGGTATAGTACAAAGAATCTTACAGTACCGAGAAAGCACAAAAGCCCAGGGTTTCCTCAGAGATGTATATAAACCAGTACTATTGCACAGTAGGAGATTACAACTAGGGGTAAGGGGGATAGACAAAGGTATCAATACCTTTGAAAAAGGGAAGAACTTGAACTACTGGCAACCAAGAAGGAAACAACTAGCTTGGAAAGACTATAGAATTATAAAACCCTTGTAACAAGTACATAAGGTTTAACTCACTGTAGGTCTTAAGAAACTGCTAAAGCAAATGCAAGCCAAGGTCAGCATGGAACCCCTGACAGAATTTGATCTGGTACGAAAGTACTTAAAATTCAACCAAACTCTACAAGTGGTAAGACATAAAGCTTTGAAAGTTCCACAAATACTCACAATCCCACAGCTATCTGACAAAATGCATGCAATTCCCAGAGTAAAACAATACACCTCTGCCTCAATGAAGGCGAAAGCTCTAGCTTTTCAGTCTTGTGCTTTGTCCTGGGATGGTCAATGAGAAACAGCTGAGGCAACAGGACACTTGTAGCACTGCTCTCCCTGCTTTGCAAGGCTCCCCAGCTTGCTAGATAAAGAAATAGGAGGAATGGACAGAAATCAGTGCACCCAGCCCTTACCTCACTTCACAATAGACAAGGCAGAGCACGTTGACTGCCTTCCACACACATGTGCCTTCATCTATCTTCATCGACCTTTGCAAAAAAAGTAAAAGGATCAACGCTCCAAACTACTCCTGACTCAGATGGCTTTCACTGACTGTACAATTGTTGTTTGTGCTTTGCTTGGTATTCACTGTGTCTTAACAGGCTTCTAAGTACTGTCAAAAGGGAAGTGTTAAATAATAAACCTGTACACAGATGAGTTTTACCCAAGAGGGATACAATGACCTTGTATATCAGACAGAATTAAAATTTCAAGTCACTTAGTATTCCCAGAGTCTTCCCAAATCTCCATTTCACCTTGTCCCATCCCTTTGGTCTTTGAATGTGTCTTTCAGTGTATCTATTTGCTATATGCATAAGAGTTCAGCAGCTCCTAGAACAGGAGAATGGGGAAATGCAAGTTTGCCAGAGGACCAAATACTTCCACAGATCTTGTGTTTCTGTGTCAAGTCCTGGAGCTTTAAGTCGTAAGGGATGGAAAATATATTTATGCAAAAATCTTAAGTCCAGCTTCAAAAGTACAACAGAAAAAAGAAACAAAAAATAGTCACCATTGGGTGACTTTGGGACTTGCTTTCCTCAACGACATCTGAATATAAACATTACTACAGTTGTCAAGTTAACATGCAGTACTCGCCACCTTCTAAGCAACATCCACCTGCATTGGCTCCTGATCCCCCAAACAGATTCCCCAAACAACAGCCTAGGAGTGGCAGGGAGCGTGAGCACAAAATCACTAGAGCTCTGCTGGTCTATATAAATACATTAACAAAGCAGAGCAACAAGGAGAAATGTCACATCTCTAACCTTCAAAAGCCATAATACTACCCATCCAGCCTTACTCTCATCTTGTAGTACTACACACTTCCAAGGTTCACTTATCCTTTTCCCACAGCCCTGAGGAAATATCGAGTACTATAAACATGACTATGAAGGCTATAACTATGAGAAGTAAAAGGTATTTGTATTGAACAACAAAGAAACAGAATACTTTTTTTTATACCTTGAATAAAACATGTTGCTAATTAAAGCATCTGAATCATCTACAAATACATGCCAGAAAAAATACTGTATTAAAAAAAGGATATTAAGCAAGCAAGCACTCCTGCATCATGCAATGAGATGGTTGACTTGGGAGGCTAATGAATTAGTATAAACAATTTAAATCTAATTTAATTTAACAATGTAGAGCATTTGTGCATTGCAAAGCAACAGACAGTCATTTGTTTCTTCATTAAATCAAAGATAAAACTGCTGATTACCCTTCTATGAATTATTTTATTGAAGAGGATGGCAAACAAATTTTATATTCAGTCATAAAAGTTCATGACTAGTCCCCAAACAAGTAAACATAACCAGTGAAGGATACCAGTGAACATAATATAGACCAGCTGTGGATTAGGGCAACACATTATTCAGCAAAAATAGATTCTCACATTTTAATAGTGAACAAATGTTTATACAGAAAATTAATATAGCATTTTAAGTTTACTTTTTATTCCCACAAAACATATCTAAACAGAACAATTTACTATTCAAAAATTTTAAATGTGTTAAAATTATACGTTGAGAATGTTGAGCATTTGGTACTGCCGGAAGTACTAAAATTATTAAATCTCCCTCTGTTTTACAGAGAAATTTATGAACTTGCCTCAAAAGTGTTACCGGTGATATCAAATTCTGGTGGAACAAAGGCACCCTCTGGATCATCTTTGAAAGCAAAAGGAAACATGTCAGATTAGAAATTACTAGTCTTTCTCATTTAAAAATGAACCAATTTGATGACACAAATTTAATGATATACTCATTTCTGATATGATAGAAACTATGTATACAACAGTATTTTGGTTCACTCATATCTGATGTAAAAAAAGCTTGCTATTCATGTTTCTAGTACTGTAAGTAAAATGAAGTGCTGTTTTCAAACTTTCTCCAAGTAGATACCACATTTTTGCTACTAAGAAACAAAACAGACAAAACACCCCCAGAGAAATACTTTTACTATGACTAATCACTTCCTGCCTTGAGACATTTATGTTTGGACCAAGTTATCACCTACACTGGTGTGGTTCAGCTGTGGCTTACAGGTTTGATTTGATTAATGAGACATTTCCATTCGCTATTTTCCACTGCAGACCTGGGTGACAATGGCTCAAGCAGCAAAAAAAAAAAACCCCTACTGAACAGCTAATTGCCTTTTCATCTACAGGCCATCTTAGAACCTGACCTTTCTGGTTAGTTTAATTATGATAAAAGAGTTGAAGAAACACTTTCTGCACCCATGTGATGCTTAGCAGAGAACTGAGCTACTGCAGCAGCCACTTCTGAGAGAAGAGGTACAAGGAAGAAACATCCCAAGAGACTGATGTTGCTGCTGCATCCAAGCATGTATGCATCCAACACACTGTACTGTTGTCACATGAATCCAGTAAAGAACGCCACGAGATTAAAATAAGCGTCCAACTAAAAACATACTCTTCACATACATATTCAACTCACCAAGTCTATCCTTCTGTAAAGCCAATGGATGATTGAGATCATTTACATGCAAAGACTATAAGCTTCCCTTCTCAACAGGAAGAAAAAAAAAAAAGTATGCTCACAGTCATAGCATATTCATCATAGCTTTAGCTCTAATAGAACTTTTGTGCCTGTATTTTAGAAGTGAAATGCAAAGCTCTTATTGTGATGATACTCAACTCAGTTATATGGTAGAGAGAACTAGATAGGATTTTTTTTTTTTTTTTACATATTCATATATTGCATCTAGATGGCATGGCTGACTATCCAGATGCCACTATAATGTTCCTGATTCTACTTTCCCACTGGAAAAAGAGGGGTACGCAACTAATTCTGCATTCCCCCCACACCACATTTTTTCCTGATATTTGGAGGGAGCAGAAGGGAAAGGGAAATAATGGACAGAAGATGTTTTGTCTCCCTCCCTCTTCCCAAAACCCAGAGTACAGCTCCTTCATCTCCCCACTACCTTTTCCCTTTCATTCCCTAGAACACTTCAAAGGCTGTACAAGCTTGTAATTTTTATCACTGGCAAAGCTCACTATATTCTTTTAATATAATGTTTACAATGGAAATTTGTCTGATCTGAAGAGACAAGAAGGTATCAGAGCCCTTGGCAGAACATCCTACTTCATGTTTGTCGCTTTAGCAGCACAGAACCTGCAGGAAGCAGAATTTGCCGTTAAAGCAGAAGTGACAGGATGTTCATTCTCTCACTGGCAAGCAAATCCAGAGGTTATAATCTGGAAGAATAAATCCATAGGCAACAACTACAGGGAAGCAAAAGGTACAACCTCCCCAAGTGTCTATCTAACAAGACAGTAACAAGATCTGAGGGAAAAGGGAAGAGAAAGAGTCGGTGAAATGTGTGTGAAATAGAATATATACATAACTTTTAGCATTCCTAGAAAAAACATAACTTTCTTTAAAGAGAACTAATGAAAAGCCTCTTCCTCAAAGACTAAGATGACTTCAGGGAACAAAATCTTTGTATGTTTGCTTTGCACTGGTAATTATTATCCCATATTTTAAGCACTTGCATACAGCAAATTCCTGGATCAATTGTTTGCCAGCTATTCAATTAGACTAAAACATTTAAGAAGAAATTGATTTCTTTTTTTCCCCTGCAAGCAAAGATCTTAATTGAGGGGCATTTTTCATCTACTAGATTTATTCTCTTAAAAATCTTTCATATATCCTTACAAATATAAAGCCAGCTTTTTTCAATTTCAAGTTATGACAAGCTCCTTAAAGGAAATTGATTCCACATTACACTATTAACATGAAACTAAAAGTTGACTCATATTTGATGAATTTAAGCACAAAACAAATACTACAACTATTACAAAGCTATATTTTCATCTTTATTAATTACATTTTCTGTTGTTACATGCATATTCTAAATACTGTCTTTAATTCTAAAGAAGGCAGCAAATATTCATTTGTTGCAAAGTTACCTTATCCCATTTTTTTTTTCCTAAATACTGTGATCTAGACTTTGACTAAAAGAAAAAAACACTTATTCTGACACAGATTTAAAAATAAATTAGGTAAAAGAAAACATAACAAAAACCTGAATAGTGTGTATATGGACTATAATGGTTAGAGTTACAAGCTGACATAATTTTAAAAGGACTATAGAATGAGACCTGGGGGGGAAGGGGTAGTAGTGGTGTTATTTTATTTTGTAATATCCTAACAGGCTCAAGACAGATTCTAGAGGTGGGTCATGTGAAAAGGGAACAACAACAATAACACGCTTTTTTGTCTGTGCTGAAATCAGAAGTAATTTTTTAAGTTAAGCATCCCCTCATTCACCTGCTACAGTACCTGAAGATCTTATATGGTACTACATACTGGGTTTTAACATATTAAAATTCATTTCTCAGCCAGTCACCACACTTGCTGAGTCTAAAAATCATGACTTTAAAAAACATAACCCTTTATTCAAAACAGCTTTTCTTTCTAACAGTGAATTTGCACTAGAATTACCCCATTCTCTATGGCTACAATCATCAAGATACACTGGATGAGAGATTTCTCTAGAAATTGAACATATCCATGAAATGAGAAGAACTAGAAGAGACCAAGAACATGCTTTACATAGGTAGAGACTTATGCACACAGATATGCAAATACATCCCCCTGGGCAAGTCTTAAAATAACTAGGAAGAATCTAAGCCAACTCATAAAAGCCTTTGTTCATCAAACTGAATGTGTAGTTTCATACAAACCTTTACTCACCCATTCCTAAACAAGTTTTTGTTTTCTCTTTATTTTAATTACAAGTATTAAAATAGAATGCTTTACTACAGTCTCTCACTATGAGTTTCCATAGTTCTAAAACAAATGGCCTGGAAACACAAATACTTACCACTGAGCTGTTCCATGAAGCATACATTGCCATTGGTGTTAAAAGCCAAAGTGTCAGGAGTGATGCAGAGTGTCTGGAAGATTGTAGAATGGGCAACACTCTTCAGAGAATGGCAACACTCGAGGCAAATTGCCCAAATATCTTGCTCAGTAAGACAGCTATCCCGCAGTGACAAAATATCAGCAAGGGACACATTCTCCTGCCAAGATATGAATTCATAAATTACCCTGAGTTTCATGACATAACTTTGTGTATCATAGATTACATTTGACACAATTGGCTACGAGTAATGTTTCCAGCAAGTTCCCAGACTTTCTAGGACACTAATTAACACCCCAAGAAACACCAAGTGCATGACTTTGCTCTTAACACAGACTCTCTTAAGAAGCACAGTTAACCCGAACAAAGGTATCACAGTATGTTAACATGAAAAAAAGACTTACTACGGGAGCTATGTAAGTTACATAAACATTGCCATCAAAGTTAGGGAAACAGACCATTGGGAGGTAAAAGCAGAGAGACTAAGTTAAAACATTTTGTTTAACCCATGTCTCCCTTAAGTTCCCCCAGGTGTCTTTGGATAAACTTCTTAAAAATTCTTTTCACAGCATTTTTCCTTACCATCTGTGATCTGGAAAAAAGTACCCTCTAAATTAGCCCATCTTAAGAATGATGCTGTTGAAGTTTACTGGTGCAGGCCGATTAATAAACACTCAAATGCCAAAGAAGCATAGGAAAAGTGGTTTTATATTTTCACTTAAAAGCAAACACCTTGGCTGTCCTAGGCCTCCCCATTACATCCAGAGCACTCAGCGATCAAAAATAGCTCATGGACTTTGTTTCTAAGTTACTGTCCTAAACTGTAAGTCAACTTCCTTTGATCCCATCATCACAATAAGGCTATGAAGAGTCCAGTTTCAAAAAAACATGGCTCTAATGTGTCTTTGCTAGTCAGGATGTTCAGAACAATGCTTAACTCAAAGCAGCTAGCCTTTTTATGCACATTTTTTAGAATACAAAACTAATATATAGCTACAGAAGTAAAGTTTTCACGAACTTAAAGGAATGACAAAAAATCCCAAACAAAACATCAATTCCAACTGTTAGAAGAAATAAGCTAACAAAAATGGAAGCATCTACAGAAGTTACTTTTCATCAAAGCTATATCACTATTAATTACACATAATATTTTCTCATTTATATGTAGTAGTCAAGACTAAAGACTATACTTATGAATTATACTAAACACACCTTGAATTGAAGATATAACTGCATATTATTTAGAATATAGAAAAAAGAAAGCATGTCATTTTCAGCAAAACAGAATGTGAGGTATCTTACAGCTCAGAAAACTGCAGTGGTTTAAACTTCTAATCCCTCAGAAAATACAGTTATAACTTTCTTTATGTACCTCAATATTGGAGAATATCAATGGTACTTGGATTACCATTTACAGAAGGGTTAACAGTTTGTTAACATGTTTTTCAGAGAATTAAGTATTGAACTCATAATATCCTTCAAACATGGACTAACCCTTAGTCCAAAAATTTATTTTGCTTTTTAGTCTAAAGTATAATGATTAATAAATATGAGGAAAAAAAAATAGGTAGGAAATAAAGCACACTTACTATTATTTGGGAAACTTAACTCCTATTTTCAATATTCTAGTTTCCATCAGGCTAGAGATGGATCAATTTACTAATGGCATTATTACTACAGTGCCTTCTAGCACTAATCATGGACCCTTGTCCAACGTAATAATGAACAGCAAAAGCTCTTACAATCCAGGTACATGAGACAAAACATCCCATTTTCCCTGTGCTGTGCTCAGCACCATATGAGTAATGCTGCCATCAGGTTTTTGAGGGTGTATTGAGGAAGTTTGACACATCTTTATGGGGAACTTCTTCCAACCATGAAGGACAGCACAGTTTCCTGTGTCTGAAAGCATAAACATATGACAAGGAGCTGGACCACAAAACATTAGGCTTTGAAAGTGATCCAAACTGATGGGTAGGATGAGGATAGGCTTGGAAGGGAAAGACAAACTGCTCATTGTATGGCCAACCAAAAAACTTAAAAGAGAATAAAGAAGTAAAATGAAGTTCTATGATCAAAGCAATGAACCAGTAATTATTTTTAACTCTCCTAGGATCATCCAGCTAGGTGACATGCTGGCATTTGCCAAAATTGCAAAAAAAGAATGTTCCACCAATCAAGAAGCAAAATTATGAGAGTTTCATCTGTGCGTATGGACAAGAAAGGCTCAATTCAGAGATTACGTGAAATAAATAAAAACTGCAACCTTGAAGACAGCCTCAATATCAAATTCCAGTCACAGTCAGGCCTTGATAGATTTTTCCTTTGAGTCAAGCTTTGAGGTTGAGCTCTATAGCAGATATTGTCAGTAGAGATATCTACAGTTTAAACTTACAAAACCACCTTTGTCTTGTGATTATTTGGGGAGTAAATGAAAGTTGATGATGGTCTCATGTCAGAAAAATATCTTCCTTCCAGGGGACTGGAAAGTTATGTAATAGAGAGGGAAAAAAAAAACAAACAAACAAACAAAAAAACAAAAAAAAACACACAAAGGAAAAAGGAAAAAATAAAAAAAGGCCTATGAATGTTCAGTGGGTTCCATCAGCAATGGATGGCTAAGTGAAGACAAAAAACAAAGTGAAATACCACCACCACAACCATACAGCAAGCCTTTCTCCTTCCAGTGCTCCAGGATATGAAGTTATTTACTTCACATAAACAATGTATATCTCAAATGACCACACTACTTTAGTAACTGAAGCTGCTATTGCAGCGAAGCAAGGCCTTTGTAGAGAATGAAACACTGAAAACACAGACACATGCATTTGACTAGTTTGCAACCCCAAAGCAATCCAGAAACAAATTTTTTACTGGGAGCGTTCAGGGGGAGAGGAAATCCGTTTACCATTGTAACACTAGAGTTTCTGGCAAGTTGAAGCTTCTGGTGAACCACAACTTCAGTACTTTGGACCACTGAAAGTTGTTTCACTTGAATTACAGGAAAACTCAAAGTGTATTACATAACAGAGATGTTGATGTCTTTTCTCTCGTCTCATTATCAGTAAAAGACACTTGTAAAAGCAATTACTGTTTAATAACTATGAAAAGTGAACTGGTCAGACAACCATGCTTTAATTATTCACTTGAGCTCTCAATTTTCTCTTATATTTTCCTCAGAAAGTATAAAACAGTTCAGTAGCATATAATTAAGCAGAGGAAGCGAGAGCGGGAAGAGAATACAAATGAATTGGCCACAGACAACTTCTTAAAAAAACCTGAAACTAAATACTAAGGACTGGGAGACAAAGAAGGTGCCTTAAAAGAAAGGCATTTGAAATACACCCTCATTCTCAGTATTTCCTACTCTTCAGCTCAGTTAGCTTCTTGCTTCACATACTGGCTTTTGTAAACCACATACAGCTGAGACCAAGTCTCACTCCTTATACCACATACAGTGATAAGAAGCACAGGCTCCACTAAATGACTAAGCAGCTGAGAGTTAGGTACATCACCATTCACAGTGGCTTTATGGCACCTAAGTCTTTTTGCCAAGATAATTCACACAAACTTCAAAACAATCTATTCCAGCATCACAGAAAATGTGGCAAAACACCATTCATTAAATTCACTGCATTTGAAGAAAAACACTGAGTTGCCCAGGTAAGCTCACTGAGTATTCTTCAAAGCAACTCTTTTGTATTAACTTCTCAAATCACCAGGTGATAGGTCATGCTCATTCTCTCAACAAGAATATTGAAAATATTCATGTGCCTCGAATAACTAAATAGAAGGGACTGGTGGGAATCCACAGTCAAAAGCATACATTGAGCAGGTGAGAAAATTGGGCTCAGGTCTTTCTCACACAGAAGAGTTGATCCTCAGCCTTCTCCCATTCAAAAGAAATACTGTAAATATTTAAGCTACCATGTAAATAGGAGGCCACTACCACCTTCCATCTGTATTTTGCATGGGCCAGTCTGAGAGGGCCTACTACACTGAACACCACAGATGCTGGGAGGAAGAGCCAAACTGCTGAGCTATTAGATGATTTATGAAAGCTGGAAGGGACTTTTCATTTTCAAACTCAATTTTAAATTCTGATTCAACCTAGGTTCTTGACATAGCAAATAAGAAAGTTTACAAGGGGCTCACATATGGTTCACTGAACTTTTACTTAAAAACACAAAACATTTTGCCCAAACATTCACTAGGGGGTAAGGAACACACTTCATATGGAAAGATACAAAGGAAGATGAGCAAGAACAATAAAAAGCAAGTGCAAACCCAAGTACAAATCCAGACAAATGCAACAACAGAACTAGGTTTAGCTACAGGTTACTTGGCATAACAACTGAACAAACAGATTTAACAGTTCGAGTCTGTGGGGTTTTTAAAAATTTTTATTTCCTAGTGACAAAGGCCTTTTTACAAAGGGCAGCAAGAAATGGCTGTACAGGAATCTGATTGGCGGTTACTGGAAACACTTTTGCCCATGTAAGAAATTTCCCTTTATCAGGTGTAACAAGGACACGTACTTCCCCACTGCAGCATTAACCCACGACAGGAGCTAGGGCACGCTGCACACTAAAGGACCGAGACTTCGCTGTAGCGTGGAGAAGGCTCACGGGGACGGACTAAGCCCAACTTGGTAACTGGGATCACCAGGCAGGAGAAAGCGGGGAACCCGCAGAGAACACACGGAAAGTGAGCGGTTATGTCGACGCGGCCTAGCCGCTCCCGGCGGGGCGGGTGAACCCCCGGGCTCGGGCCGTCCCGGGGCCCGGCGCTGCCGGCGGGCAGCGGGAGGGAGACGCCGGTGGAAGGGGGGCTGCGGGATCCCCTGTGGCCGCCGCACCACGGGTGAGCGAAAGGGCGGCGGCGGCTCCGCACCTGACTCACTCACCTCGTCCTCCAGTAGCGTCGGCAGAGGCTCGAAGTCGTAGCAGCTCGCCGCCTCCTCTTCCTCCTCCTCATAAAACACGTCCTCTGCGGCGTCGACAACCTCCATTGCGCCCGGCGAGGGAGCAAGAAGCTTCACCTCCGCTGCCTCCCAGCGCGCCCGGAGCACGGCCCTCTGCCCCCGCCGCGGCTCATCCCCACACCCGACCCCACGGCGCCGGGCCCACACACGCCCGCCCCGCTTTAACCCCTTCGCCTCCCGTCGGGGCCCGGCCGTGGGACGCCCGCTTAAACGCTCGGCTGGGGCAGCGTTGCCATGGCAACGCGGCCCGCCGCCGCCTCGCCCTCACTGCGGCGTCGCCCGCCCTCCTGCGGCGGCGCCCGCCCCCGCCGCCCCCCCCGGCCCGGCCCCGAGAGTCGCCGGCGGCTGGCCGCGGGTCCTGGCCTGTCCCCCGCGCCCCCTCCTTCCCGCTCACGGCCAACGCCTGGAAGGAAGGCGGCGGCGTGGCGGTGGGCCCTGAGGGGCGCGCCCGCCGCAGTGCCAGCTGTGGCTGCCGGGGCCCCGCGGGAGCTGAGGCCGGTCCCCGGCTCGGCTGCGCTCTCCGGGAGAACGGGGGTGGCGGAGGGGAGGGAGGGTTTGTATCGGGCGAGCGGCCGGGGCACCGGCGTTGCGTGGCGCCCGAGGTGCCGACGGTCGCTATGGCCGAGATCTGCTCCCATCGGTGAACGGTTTCCTCCCGTGAGGGCACCCCAGGAGAGCTTAACCTTCGGCCCTGCCTGCCCGTGTGTTTCGGCCTGGTTTTAGCGTCACCGACTCTCCAGATAAACTGGATTTACTGGATAAACTACAGCGTTTAAAATTAGGCAGGTGGACAAATATTTGCATGATCATGGCCATAACTAACAAGAACAAACAAAAACAATGTGGTATTATCAACTTTATTTTTAGTGGCCATAGCCTATTTTTGCTGTCTACTGGGCTTAGGGTACCTCAAATAACTTAAGACTCCTTTTGAAATTGAAAGTTCAAGATCAAGGATTCCTGTGAAAGTACCACCTGTGTAGGCACTTTTTTTTTTTTTTTTTTTTTTCAAGTAAACCCCATTGGAAACTGCAAATGGTGGTGTGTAAACAGGCCATAGCCATTCTGCTTTCTGCCTGTGAAAAGGAATCTGCATCTAGCTACATGTAACTGTATGTGCTGCACTAACCCCTGAGAAGGTGCCTCATGATATAACTTTAAGCATTCATGCAGCCACATCGAAATCTCCCATTTCAACCAACCTGATGGATGAAGAGAATAGACTCTTTTGTCCTGTCATTAAATTTCATAGCTACAGGTACTTGGAAAATAATAGTGTAATTTTCATTACTCTGCTTTCCTGTATTCTTATAATTCTAAGTCAAAATGGAGTATGTTAATTAATTAATCTGTGCACAGTACATCACACAAAGCAAGAATTTTATATTATCTATTGTATGTAGTAATCTCCAGAAAGATTAATACTCTATTAAAATATATATTAATGCAAAGCAAACAAAGATACTTTGATTAACTGCCCCATAAAAGTCATCCTGCAGCAGTTGTAAGATTTCTCCTAATTAAACATTAATTGGATACATTCCACAGCTATGGCATGCTACTGAGAAAAAAAACAAACTCAGGCAGATTGGAGTGTTTCATATATATATATTGCCTTCTTACTAACATTTTTGGACTAAATTGATGTGACCAAAATGTATATATACTTATAAGTTGGTAATTCAGGCTTTTAACTGTGAACAAATATTAAAGCTTGGGAAAAAGTGAGTGCCTGGTGCTTCTGAAAATAAAGCCCAACATGACTCAAATAACAGTATTGTTATAAAATGTTTCTTAAAATGTATTTCACCAGCATATTTGGAAAAATGTTTTCCTCAGCTCTATCCAAGAAGAACTCTGAATTCTGAACCCTTGTGGCTTGGACCCATAACTACATTGTAAAGAAAAAGAAGAGAGAAAATGTCTCTGGTGCATAAATTGGGTCTAAGAGCTACACTCATCCATAAATACATCTTAGATGAGAACTCCGTTTCTGTCACCACTTGAGCATTCACAAACATTTCTGAAAAATGATAGTTTAAGTCAGAACTATGAATGCTACACAGAAATTCACATTCTAGTTTTGAAAGGATCAATATTTTTTGCTGAACAAGAGAAATTCCCTTGCTAAAAGCAATTAGTCATTGGGTGATAGGGCATTTCCCTGTAAGGTTAGGAGATTCAGGTTCAGACACCTATACTGCATTATTTGGACCTTGAATCTAGGCTTGGGGAGATTTCATCAGAATAAGTGACTAAGTGACAGTATGCTTGAGACCTATCTCCTGGCTGCTCTGGTTAAATTACTTGCTCTACTGAAGAACTATTTATACCAAGTGGAATATGTACAAAGTGGAAAACAAAATAAACATAGGATTCCTCTGTAAACAAAAACTTAGCCTTTCTAGAGCACTTAGCCTTATCACACATGCCTTGATAGCAGGACAGAACGGTCACTGGAACTGATATGGTTTCGTAGATTTTTCCAGAAAAAAAATGCTATACTAAGTCTCTGCTCTCATCAGTAATTCTGTTATTTTGCTTTCCTTGTTGGTCTCATGGTTGAGACAACTGTCAGAAAAGGAATTACAACTTGTTTGATACATTCATGGAGCAATTTTCACACTAGAATATTCATTCTTATTAACATCTGCAGTTAATCATGGCCCATGGGAATTGGAGGACATGCAACACTAGACTTTAGCATTAGAAAAAACCTCACATGTAGATGAAACTGTCAGTTTGTCTGCAGTCATATTTTCCATTCTTTCCACAGTATTGCTTAAGAAAGTTAAAGTTCTTAAGTGGTCTTTATAGAATGTTGGTAGGCATTTTTTGAAAGACATTTTGATGGATACATGAGTGTCTGTGGAAATTATCTTCTGAGTCTGAGGCTGGCTGAACATGCAAGTGAGTATTGTATTAAAACAAGAAATATATAGAACAGCAATCAGGTTCTCAAAAGGTGGAAATAAAAGCATTATATTGCACTAATAATATTCTATAGCCTGAAAAGAAATAAGAAATGTTAGCATAGATTAAAGGAATATACCGTGACTAAAATTATTTTGGTAAAGGATATTTTGAACAGGTTTCATTATGGAAGTAGTAGAGAGAGGTTTAATTTCCCTGTGATCAGATTTTTGATGTGAACTGAGGTCTCTTCAGCAACAGTTACAACAGGAATCACAATTATTAGAGATTTTGACTTAGTTGTAGATTAGAGATGAAAAACTACTAATCAAAGGTAAACTCCAGGTATACTGTAGATATTCTATATGAGAAACCTCTCAAACAAGAAGTAATTGAATCAAGAGGGAGTTCTGTGTCTTCGACTTTGTGTGTGGTTACAGACAATACAGAAGGACTGGATCAAATACATCTGATTTCAGTCTTCTCACAGTTTTAGCTTGCTCCCCTTGAGCTGTATCTAATTTGTAGTAGATGCAGTAGAGTTAGGGCAGTTTGTCATTTTCATGTAAGCAGTATTTGCAGCAAAATAGCTGACTTGATTTCTTTCTCTGACAGTAGTTGGTAGCAGATGTCTAGAGAAGAGCGTAGGAACAAGGTAGCTATATGCTATGCTTTTCCAGTACAGTCTCAAAGCCTCCAAAGAGTCACAGTTCAGATACTCCCTAAGGCAGTGGTAGTGTCTACTGGTTTCAGAGACACTGCAATATTTTTCTGTAATGAATTTGTTCATTCAATTTTTGTGTCTGAATAGTTTTACTATCCATCATATCCTATTGAAAAATTCCTCAGCTGACCCAGACATTGCATAAACTAAATTCTTTGTTTCATCTGAGGCCCCTAATTTCTTGTATTGAATAGGTGGTGGGTAGATTATCTATTTATCATCTTTCTATCATTTATGATATTAAAGAGGTGTCATGTCTCCACTAGTTTCATCTTTTCATGTTGAAAGGTCCTGGTCTAGTTGTTCATTCACAGAATAGAAATTATTCCATGACTTTGATCATGCTTTAGCACTTCATAGTACTTTTTAAAATTTTTTCATTATGTAATAAAAAACTGTGAAAAAGAAGGTTGGTACCCGAACAAATAAAAGAAAAGAGAGAAAAGAGAGGAAAGAGAGAGAGGAAAGAAGGAATTGGTAGACTCTCAAGAGATTTTTGAAAAGAATATATTAATGACCTGCAAACTTAAAGGAAGTACTTCCCTTAACTATAATTTACTTATTTAGTTATGAACCTCATGCCTTTTATTTCCAGATACCTGGATTAATGGGATGTTGTCAAAAAATAATCCAGTGGGTGCTAGCCACAGAGAATACATTCATGGGTATTCAGGGAGTGACTGCCAGCACCTCTGTCTCTGCAACATAACCTAAATACAAGCTACAGGAGAAAGGAAATTGTATAGGGTACTACTGTTACACCACTTTGTGCCACTGGAGATGTCTTTCATGTGCTTTTGTATTTTTTTTTCCTTTTCATTATAGCACTTTGGTTATTCTTTTTAATAGATTATATAATCATAATTGACTATTAAAATTTTGGAGTACCAGCCTTGTAGATGAAAGGTACACATTTGTTACACTATAATTAGATTGTACATTCTCCTTTTAAGAGTTTTCATTTAATGGCAGTTTGCCTGAAGGTTCTCAATTTATTTTTGGTGAAATTGAGGCAACTGAATGATTGCAGTATAAAGAATTGGGGTTTGTGTGTGTATGACATACCCTTTTCAGTTGTTTGGGTTTTTTTAATCAGAGATCATTTTAATGCCATGGTCTTTAATACTTTTACAGTATATGAAACTACTGTTCTTCCTTTAGCAGTTATGTATATTTCAAGACAGAGAAAAGCTTTCTGCCAGTTGCCAACTGCTGCTGCCTTTGTGGCAGCAGTGAGAAAGCACCGTAATAAAAAGCAAATTACGTGTTGCTGCTCCTGAAAAACCTGAAAGAATTCAAAGGTAAAAATACTGCAGTTTTTAAACCAGCCCCATTGCTGCTATGAATCATATCCAAGCATAAATCTACTTGCCTAAAGTGGCAGTTTAGTTTGTATTCCAGGTACTTCAGAATCTTACAAGGGCAATAGGGGTGCCTATTGCCCTGTAAAACAGAACATCTGTTCTGTTGCCTTTGATTTTGTTTTCGTCTTTTCCAAACACTGCATTTTCTTAAACCTGTGTTCTAGTCATGATTGCTTTTCTACACTACACTTTTTGTTGAGTTTATACTACTGATAAAACTCAATTTCATGGTTTCCTCAGGTATTTAGGAGATTAGATCTTTCCAATAGAGTCCTCTTCTATCTACCCCCACAGTGTATTACTTTATGGAGGTTTGTGCCTTTTTTTGTCTTCATAATCTTCTCACATGTCCACTCTCTAAAGACTTGATTTCATTGCATCTTCTTTGAATAATAGCTTCATTTGTCCTCATATGAAAGACTATCAAAGGATTATTCACTCTTCTCCTCAGGACATCTTTCAATCATCCAATACGTTTTCATCTGAACTGCAGCTGCACCTCCAATTCCTGTGTTTTTTCTGTATGAACTCTACTAGGTGGCAGTCCAGGCATAGATAGATCCCATCAGGAGCTACTTTAGGGTAATGTGCTTTACATTTAGGCATCTCTGCTTTCTTTGTCATTCTTTAAAAATCCTATGCTGTTGCAGGTAGAGATTAACTTCCCATAGCAGCTGAAATTCAGGCAAAGATAGTAGAAGTAAAGATCATTTGGCCCCAATTGAAGTAAACAGCAAAACTGTCATGATATAATTTCCTTTGAAAAGAACTCATTGATTTGCAAGATCAAAGACTGGAATTGTTTTTATTTGTATACAGATGGGAAAACAACCTAGTAATGATCCAATATGCAAGCTCATGGCTTTCTTTTCACTACTGGAAAATTAGGACTAGAGGAGATACAAATCTGAAAAATCTGAAATCAATCCAATGCTAAATCTGGTATTTAGGAATTTTTGAGTCATTATCTCATTAATTCAATTACATTATTAGGTTTCTCATAGGCAGTATGGGTATTCACACATATATACATACAGAGTGATTGATAATGGGATTCTTTCTATTGTTATCACTCTGGAGTGTTACACGACTTCCTTTATCTCAGTGTCTTAATACATCCCAGGTATTTCCACAGTAGTCTTGATCGCAAGGTAGAGACCACTTTGCTTGTTTCACACGGAAAAGTGAGGCACCATGAAAATAAATCACTTTCAGCATTACTCAGGAGGCTCATATCGACTGGAAATTTAAGCCATAATCCTGGAGAGCCAAATTTACGCTATAATTGCAAAGCATCCTCCAGCTGATTCTGAACCGCTTTAGTTGTGACATTATAACATTGTTTTCTTAATACAATACTGTCTTTATTGTACCTACTGGTCCCCTTGCTTTTTAAATTCATTTAGTGATGTTCATTTAAAAACACTAGAAAAAAATGCGCAGAAGATAATTTTAAAAGAATATAAAGTCTAATATGATGCTTATGGCAATTTCACATTGGAAAATAAGTTGCAGTGTAGTACTAGCCATCCTTCAGAGAAACACCTCATAGTAATTAACTTAAATCTTAAATTCATATTAAAGAAACATAAAAATTAACTATGTGCAGGCAGAATTCTAAGCATGAGATTGTTTGTATTTCTTACATTTAACTATTTTCTTAATCTTTCCTCTCCAGATATTTATGAGATCATTATGAGCTGCTCATAATGGAAAAG